TTATTAAAATGAAGACGTTTCAAAAAAAATATCTATGATATACACACTTATTCAAAATAAATACGATAAATAATGAAACATAAGTTTTACAATAATTTAAGTGTAATTCTGGTATTTATGTAGGATAAATATAGCGATTGGCCATATAATTGATTCAATTTTCTCGATTTGATACCTACTRTACTAATATAATATTAACTTAAGTAGTGCCTTTAAAATAAATGTATTATAAAAGTATTACCTACATATATAAACACATACAGTTTCATAATATAATGTAGGCGTAAGTTTAATACATAAATTAAAGAATGGCACAATTAAATATACAACAAATTTATTTTTAGTCAACCCATTTAAAACGTCCAACTGTTTAATTTATATTAAAACAACACCTAATTTTTTWAAAAACAATAATTATAATAGTAATAACATTGCATAAGTAGATAATACAATTTACCTTTGTTGTGTTAGCAAATTGATTTAATTATTTTATATTAGTCATACATTACATTTTAGAAAACATCGAACGTTGTGGAAGCGCAATTTATGAGAAATATGATATGTATATCTATTTAGTCGTTACAATAATTAAATAATCGCGTAACCGTAAGGGAATACTCGATCAATATATTCATTTATCAACTACAAAATATTAATTAATATATCATTAGTTAACATAAATTAGAATCTCAAAAATAAAAAATAAATAAAATCGAATAATACAAACCTCAATGGAAAAATATAATGAAGAAGTATAGGATTTTATAGCACATAAAAAACACATTATATTATATAAGATATAAAAATGTTTGACTATATGTGCCAGTTGCGGTACACTCCTATCAATTAAACACATTGCATCCGAATGCCGTTTCTATTAAACGGACAAACTAGAAACTGGGATATCAACTATCATGTCTCTATCAGTAACTATATGTAACTATCAGCTCTCCATCCAATTACCATAAATCACATGATAACCTTTTTAATTAAAACAATCTTATAAATAGTTGGTCATAGACGCTGAGGCTTATTTATGTAAATACAAATAAATTTCAAATGTTCATACAAAATATATATTGACTGGTGATAAAAAATTGATTTGAATTTGAATGTTCATAATAATATTGAAATGTATAATTACGTGAACAATATCGAGTACACGTCATTTTAATTTTAATTTTTTTTTTTAAATAACATTTACAATTTGTCAATTTGTACAATAAAAAAGTTACAATAAGCAAAGAGGTCAACCTAATATTTTATTGGACATGATGATGTGGAGAAGGGAAGGTATCAAGTAAGAGGACGCTTTAGACGTGTTTCAGCTGAAGTATACATTCAAAATAAAGTTTTAATGTSACTACTTAATGGTAAAAAAAAACCCATACAAATTAAAAGAAAATCGGCCAACAAATTTAATACAATGTTATATTTAAAAATCGGTTTAAAAAAAAATACGTGGATGCTTCAAAGGTTCTCAACATTTTTTTATATCCACGTACCACCTACACATTAAAAAAATGTTCTTGTTCCTTTTGACCAAATAACCTATTTTTTTTTTTTATTTCAAAAATGTATACGTTATTTTACATTTATGGAATTTTATTTTATTTTATTAATGTAAAAATATTATTTATGTTATTATAAATATAATAAAAAAGCCAAGTATAATATTGGATATGAGTTTTGATTCGTTGAATATTTCATATTTTTTTTATTTTTTTCTATAAAGGGAAATTTCCTTCACGTATCACTAGTGGTACACAAACTACTGGTTGCTGAATGCTGTAGTACATAATAATTATGCGTGCTATATACAAATACTCGAAATTACTTCTTATTTATAWTGGTGTACGATATACATTAACTCTATTATTAATATGTATTTTTTTATACCGAAAATAATTAGGATAGTCTATATAAATRTAGTATACATAATTATCTTACCTTCTGAAAAAAATRTTTTACAGTATTATATTATTTTAATATGATTTRCCATTTTGGCAGATACATGGTTCTGTGTTACTGTTTACATCAATGATCAAATATTTCCAATTGTATATGTCTGTTATTTTATTTTATTTCATTGTTTATCAGATGCAGATTATCATCAAAAAACTAATATATAAATTATAAGTACATAATTCTATTTAAACATACACAATATGTATTATCAATGGTTTTAATTTGTGTTTATCTATAAAAATATTTCAAGAAGCAATTTTAATAACCGTACTAGCTATACTATAAAACATATGTACTGCCAATAATAATAAAAACTCATGGTAGTTCTCGATAATTCCCATATGTGTATATTATCAATGTATTTTCACTTAATTTAATTTAACACGAGGACTCCCGGGTTTGATGACTTGCGGCTACAACCACAGACCTTACATTAGCACTGTGTGCTAGACAGGAGCCGTTAATTTAATTGATCAATGAATTGTATTCATACTAATTCTTACTATTTATTGATTCCTGTATCAGATCAAGATTTCGTCGATAAAATAAACAATACTAAAAAACATCTAATTTTTTTTTTTTTGATTATTAATAATAACATATTATACTTACGATATGGGCATATATAAATCATGCAGTAAACAAATATGACATAATGCTAAGGCATGATTTAAGACAAGAGAAGAAATGAGCTCAATACAAAAATCCTGAAGAGAGAATAGACCAGTTCTTTATGTATGACCTCGGTGACTGATTGGTTATCTTGTATTATCTTATATAGATTATCTTCAAACTTTATTTTTTTCCAAGTCAAAGTTTTTTTTTTATCAAGAACCCATGCGAAAGGTTATCACATTATGCATTTTTTATGAGGAAGAGATGCTTGTTTATTTAATGTTGGAATAAAAAGGAGTTTAAAGTAGTCCATTGATGATATACCTGGAAGTATACGTTGTTTGGCTAAAAATATTAACTAAAATAYCTGTATGGTTTTAGAGTTTAAAAATKTAATGTTCGTTTGAAAATAATATATCTGATAATACAGACAGACAAAAAAGTCCACAATATCCAAACTTAATAAAATTAATAGTTCTTTAATTATTTAATAGTTTTTATCAAATATTATTACCTATTTTTTTTTTATTTTTTTTTTTGTTAACCCGTTGCAACATAAGCCATTGGTGGTGGGGTGGTACTTTAGGTTTTTTAACGGTGGTGGAGGGAACATGTGAGTGTTTTTTGGTAGAAATTTTAAATGGGCACCCGTAGATTTCTGTCATGCACGGGTGGGAGGCGGCGGTCTCTGTTTCCAGACAGCGTGAACTGCCCGGAAAACGATGCCACCCATGACTGGGGTTCGAACCGGTGACGGTGCGCTTCACAACCGCCGCCTTAATCAACCGGGCCACTATACCCCCCTTTTACCTATTTTATTTCTATTACATTTTTATTTATTGTGTAGTTACGATAATGCTCGTATAATATAAAACAATACTTTTTTAATTACTTTTTATGATGAAGAAAATAATCATCTAAAAATTCATTTTTTATTTTACGATATAGGTACTCGATATTGTGATACGGTATTATAGACATCATAATATATGAAGCCATATCGATTCTAAAAAAAAAAAAATCGTATACTACATTAATATTCATTAAAAAATAATTTTTCTGTATTTACTGTAGTATCCAATTCATTGGAATTAAAAAAAAAAAAACCATACAAATTATAAAAATTATTTTCAACATTATATATTATTAATATTTTAATTCTATTTAACTTTGTTT